ATAGCTGTTGGGAAGTGCTGCTAGAATTGTATGTTTAATGGGTATTGATGAAAGTTGATGAAAATAATTTTCAATCTTTTGTACAAAATGTAAAAAGTTTTATAAGATTTCATCTGAAAGTGTTGAATAATTATTTCTGTAATAGGAGAGTTGGATTCTATCAGCACTTTTTATGGTACAGAGATTATTTTACATAAATATTATAGCAAATAGAATTTAGTTATCCCCGGGGTGGTGTTGAAATGTTCACTTTTCATTAAGGCATATTTTTTCTATTTATAGACATCACGTGATGACGACGTGGTAGACTGCGTCCTGGAGTGTAAGTCCCATTGAAGTTTATAGAACGGATAATGATAGCAAAACTTTTCCGATATACTAGTGTTACATGTACATATTACAAAAAAGTGTAAATTCGCCGAATTTTGATCTGTGTGCTGCCTTAACAGTTAGCATACCTGCGTATATTAACCAGCGCAGGAATGGTCGGCAGCACCACAAACAGAACAGTTAATGTTTTTAAAAATCAAGAGCGCAGTTGGAATTGCATCCAATGAGCAGCCTTATTTGCACAGCTTTTGATGACCCTGTCAACTTCTTCCCGCGCTCCTTGACCTTGAAGGAGCCAAGTTGAGGCACTGATCTGTCTAGGCCCGGAGAAGCTGTTTTTGTCAAAATCAAGTTTTTTGTCATCAAGACCTGTTTGATTTCGTAAATTTGTTGTTTAACAGTACGAATTCTTAGTTCGGCAAAATCACTAGTACACATACCATTGAAAAGGGAGTGATTCCTTGCATTCATTAAAGTTCTGAAAGTCCACCGATCTCTTTACTCTCCGCTGTGGTGAGCTTTTTCTGATAATAGCTTGTTTTGGAGGAGCTGATCTTTCGCACTACTGCTGAGGTCTACTTCGCGAGTATCTGTCTATGCACTTTCAGACCTGAGCACATGGCTTTACAGTTTAACTGTCCTCTCTGTTTTATTACTTCAGGGACTAAGTGGTTGGGTGAGTTCCTTTTGATGTAGATGGTAGTCTTATTTTGTAAACAATATACATTTTCCTCAATCTTTGTTTTTAAAGTTTCTAATAGAGTCCTTAAGAATACTAAACATCAGTTTGGTCATAAATAGTTAGTTTCAAGTTTTGAAAAGAGTTTGAGAAGATTTTAGTCTATTACAAGTAAATGTAACATGTTTAGTATAAGCCGATGCAATTATTGCACAAAATGAATTCCAAATTTATTCTTTTTTTAAATGCATTTTGGACAAAATCAGATTTAATGTCCCGGGAATTGTAGAAATACCTTCACGTACAAATATTTTATAAAACATTCTTACATATTGGTCAGGCAAAGTTCAACATACCTCCAGTAGGTGGGTCCAATATTTTTTGTACTGACAGCTGTGGGATTAAAGGCATTGAAATTTGTGGAAAAGCATTACGTCGTGGATAGTACTGTGATTGTGGTCCCATCATAAAGCCTGGTGGCATTTTACTATCTTCATGTTTTAGATTCTTCATACCGCTAGACGGTTCTGGTTGTATTAGTATATTATGTTGATTTTGTGAGTTCATATCGTAAGTATGCCCTGGTCCCTATACAAAGTTAAATATAATTATAAAAATTATCTCCCTCATCATACCTATTTATATACATGTAGTTTATTGTTTTAAAACCCAGCAGCACACGAGAAAATACTCAAATCATTAGAGCCCTCCATGTCCTAACAAAAATGTCTGTTTATACCAGTTATTAATGAAGTAAACGTGGTTTTCCCCAGAATTTATCAATGTTTCACTCATACCTTTGCATATACTCAAAAACTGCTATTTTGCTCTTTTACTTTAGGTTTGTTATGTTTGAATATCAATAAATTCTGAAAAAGAATCCTTAGTCTTTATAAATCTAATAACCTTATTCTCATGCATTACTTTATACGATCAAGTAAATCTTTGGATGCTTAAGAAAGATTATACGGATTTTCTAGCCAAAGAAAATTACCGATGTGGAACTGCATGAGAAAGCAAGCACAATCGATATGAGAACTTTATTGAAATAACGTACATATTTATAATTGTACATAATTGACGATGGATATGATATGTGTTCAGAAAACCAGCCAACAACATCACCAAAGAAGATATTAAATGGACATCAGAAGGGAAGAGGCAAATTTGTCGGCCAAAGAACACATGGCTAAGGGCTATGGAGATGAAAATGAGAGAACACAAATAACTTGGGGAACTGGAAAAAAATACTCAAGATAGAAGTGGAGGAGTCGGTCTCTTGTCCTATGTACCCACAGGCACGGTAAAGGTTGTTTCCATAGTATAAAAATCGGATGCTTTTACGTTCTCGCAGTGGCACCTGATTCCGGTGTCATGATTTGGAAAAGTTAGAATTGACACAACCCAAGGGTGCTTCCAAATAAGTTTCACTTTTTCTGACCCAGTGGTTCAAGAAAAAAAAGTTTATAGAGAGACCCAAGCCTATATTTGTCATTTCTTAATCATCTCCCCTTGTAAAGGATTGACGTTTCATTTTAACAATTTAATCTGTTCTTTACCCAAGATACTTTGTATTTCCATTGGTTAAATTGCCTAATTGGTTTTTGAAAAGAAGTTAAAACGTGAAATGTTATAAACACACGACAGAGAACGGGTGATAAGGAAAAAAAGTTTCCTATTTAATTTTCTCCACATCATTAAAAGACAATTTTTAAGTATAATACAAGGAAAAAGTATCTTGCTTAGATTTCTTTAGTTCATCACATATTTTGATTTGAAATACTTACTGCATCATTTGGCCTTGCTTGTGTATTCTCCACCAACTTATCTGGAATAATGGAATTTGGGCTGCCTGCATCGGGAGGATTTAACGTTTGTTCGTTTGAATCCAAAGTAACATGACTATATTTATTAATCAGCGTTTCTGTCTCTTTAAAATTTAATGAACATATAGAAAAACTTTTTATATGCAATGAAAGGTGGTTATGCGTTCTGTAATTTAAAGCATTATGTAGTTTTTTATGACAGTCATCCTAAAGGGTGACATTTTCTTTTTTAATTTTGGCTATTTGGTTCCTTTTCCAACCTCTGATATTTTGGTATCCTGTTCGTCATATTCATCTACATCGAAAACCTCGTACATTTTTCCACAATATGTTTAATTAAAACGTTTGTAAAACAAAAATATCAAGAACTACAATAAAAGAATGAGCACATCTACCAAATAGTGTCAGAAATTGTTATCTTCTCTCGCCAGGTTGGTTACAAAAGGAGAGGAAAAAAATGGAAGACACTTAAATGGTTTTTTTTAGAAATAAAAATGGATTTAAAAGTTTGTGAAACTTCATTCATTACATGATCATGAGAGAAATAAGAACATTTATTCAGCAATGCAGTAAAATTTCTATATTCCTCAGCCTACATATAAGACCTCAGGAATATGATTATTTTCTTTGCTGAATAAATCTTCATGTTTCTCGGAGGATCGTGCAATAAAATTATAATGCATATAAGAAATTCGTGGTTTGTAAATTTCCTCGGGTTAAACGAGCTACGGACCATCAGCTACTAAGTTGTTCATATATAAGTTCCCATCTCTAAATCTTCTTTAGAATAATTACACGCAGAGCTTCACCTCAATTCCTTTGAATACTTGCAACTGGTGTATAAAACATTAATGCTTCTATTTTGATCTACCCTTAAGGTTTTCCATCCATAATAAGACCAAATTTTCTCTTCTTCAATGTCCATCAGTTACATAATACTCTGATAAACATGCATCATAAGCATTTTACGATACAAAAATTACTGTGTCAATCTTTGCAATACTACTTTCAAGAAAAAAAATAGGCACAATATCGTGTGTAAAAATATTTGTGGGAAGTTTCATTCTATCTAATTATATACACTAGACAATATTGCTAACACACCACCTAAGAGAATTAATATTTTACTTTTAAACACATGTTTATGATGTATTTGATATAAAGATATGTTAGTTTAACAAAAAGTAAGGCATATTAATGTCAAACATTATTAATGACTACAATGTTTACTGAAGTGTGACCATTTCATAGAAAAAAAATAAAATCATGTCTTTTCCACTTTACGTGTAACTTTTTGCAGACTTACCTTTTATTTCTTCTCTAGAATTTTTGCCCGAAGGAAACTCTGTTACTTGCGTCACAATACTCTCTGATATACCGACAATAATTAAAATTTTTAATATAATTCATTATAAAATTAAAGCATAAATATAAAAAGAAAGATAACCATTCATGGATTGTACATAAGACTGTGTTGTTACTTACGGAAGAATTTAAAATACTTGAGATTAAAATGTGAAAAAAGTATACTATATTTTCAAATAATTTTATTCCATTTGATTTGATTTTAATTAATAGTACTCACTGTGTGAAGTTATAGGTGGAATGACAAACTTAGGAATGTATATATCTTGGCTCTCTAGGTCTTCTGCTTTTTCTTCTACTTTCTCTTTCTCCACTTTGGAATTCTTGTTACCATCTATCAAAAACAAAACAAATTATCTCTGACCATGATTTTTTTTTTGTAACTATTGTCAATTGATAAAAAGGTTGAAATCTGTTTCGTTTTAGTAAATTAAAGATATTGTCAAGAAAAGTAAGAATACAATGAAGAGATATATAACCTGAACAAAATACACCAGTGTTGTCCGTTCGTGTGTCAATGTTTGGGAGATATAAACAAATCAAAAGCACCTAGCTATAGTCAAACATAGCAGAGTTTGGGTACAGATTACTGTCATTGAATATGAAAATTCTCATTGTAGTTGAATTCTTTCTTTTTTGTAAATGTTTAACATAAATCAAAATTCAAGATTTGAATTAGATAAATGTAAAGAAATTATCAAAGAAAAATTATTTTAGCAAAGTTTTGCAAATAATTTTTTTATTAGATATTAACTATCTATGGACTGTAACTTCCCCAAATGATAGTAAATTATTATTGTTTAATGGACTTTGATTATAATTGAATACTGTTTATTCTCTCCACAACCTTCCTTACATAAACTATTAGTGCACTTGCCTTCCTCCTTAAGTCCTATACTTATCGCACTGACACACTCTTCCATTGTGTTGATAAACGACTAAAGAAAAAAAGAAAACAAATTTCGCATGATTTATTGTTAAACACAGATTTTTTTAAAATTATAATACTAATCTTGTTTTCAATATCATCACTTAAATTTTTGCTAGATCAATCAATAAGTCAAAATCAATTGAAGATAAAATTCCTCTCGCAAGAAAATATCTCGCTATTTTATTTTTTAAATAATAGTGTCGATTATCTCACATATATATCTCAGTTGATTCGATACGGTAAATTATTGACAAGCAAGTTGATGAAACAAGAATATCAACAAACTCGTTTCAAGTCATCATTTCGTAAGTTCTATGGTCGATACAATGACCTTGTCAGCAAATACAATTTATCATTGAGTCAAATGCTGACTGACTTTTTTCATACCCATTGTTAGTCCATTTTTTATACACTGAATTAAATTGACGACGGATTTTATTCGTTATTTCCTGATCATGACAAGGAGCACACGGCGGGTTTGACCGTTCGGCAGGGAATGCTCACTCCTCCATGGCACCTGATCCGTCCTTTAATGTTTCGGGGGTCCGTGTTTGCTCTGCTCTTATTTTGTATTGTTCTATGGACTTTGAGATTGAATACTGTTCGTTATCTCCATATCCTTCATTCAAATTACTAGTACGTGAATAATTAAACGAGGGGAAATTGAGATAATTAACATGAAGTTTTTATATATTTTTTAAAGTGTAAATATTTAGTTGCATGGTTTGAACGGGTTTGAAACTGAAGTCAGAATCATTCATGAAATCTTAATTAGCTATGTAAAGGAAAAAGTCAGAAAACTGTCCATTCTACGAGCTAGAGAAAGAATAGTTCGAGGCCCAAAGGACCGAGAATAGTTTTTCCTCTCACAGAATGGACAGTTTTGAGGACTTTATCCTACTTGAAACATTTTCTCTATTGTTAACTTAATAAACTGTCCCAGGTGATGGTTATGTATTTGCTTTGATTACGTAACACACTTGATTGTCCAGAGAGTGAGAGGTTAAAACAAACGGGATGAAAAAATAGCTGTATTGTTTAACTTAATAGACAGTGTAAGGTAAATTTAGATCTGAATGATAGTTCACTTGATTTCTGAGCACTTCCCATGTAAAACTTCATAAGTGAATATGTCCTCATCAGATGGAGCAAGTTATGCATATTTCTCCAAAGTACGGACCAAAGGGTGGTCACAGAATAATGTAAAGCAGAAAAGCATAAACCTGCAGGTATGCATATTTTGAAGTCGGAGTTCAAGTTTTGACAAAATATATCGTAAATCTTTGTGACTATTCAGAAATTAAGGGACACTTCACGGAACATTCTTTGAAAACAACAGCGGCGACCCGCTTGTATAAAGCTGAGATTGATGAACATTTAATAACAGAGAAAAACAGGCCACAAATCTTTTACAGTTTGATTATAAAATAGAACCAACAATGAACAGCGGCAGAGAGTAAATAAAAGAATTCATATATAGAAATATGGTGGATTTAGATATTGGAAAATGTATGAAAAAGATGAAAATTTGTGATCCCTGCAGTCCTAAAAAATATTCCGCCAGCAGTGCATCTATTGAGATTATTATTTCATCAGGAAATATGCCTTTCTCTTTTGAAATTTTAATTGTCGCTGGATATATTTTCATTGGATGGATCTACCACGTCCAGCATTCATGTATAAATGTTGTGAAGAGGATGAGACGTTTGTTTACTAATAAAAAAACTTCTGTATTTGGATGTTGTAAAATTATTATGCCTCAGGATATTACATTTGTATCTTTTTTGCATTGGATTTGTCATTTCCAAGGATGATATACTGTTGAACATTTCATATACAACTGTTTGATATTCATGCATAACTCTGGAATTAATTAAAAACATTATTTGCCTGTTTTCATAACTAATTAAGTTCAGAAAATATTTTGCATTTTGTGTGTTGTTTTCAACATTGAAACCTGTGCATGAAGATACTTGTAATTGTACAATAAATTAGCAAAAAGCTGTCTATTAAGTTAAGAATTGAGAGCTTTGTAAACTAAATGTACGGTTACAGGTGACTTAATAAATGTATAGGTTTTAAATATCCAAAACTGATATGCTATATAATGTATTAAAAACACAAAGGATTACATAAAATGTTTAAAGTAGCTCGAATTACTACGTTACAGTGAAGTCGACGATTGCAGTTTGCTATTGTCGGTACTTTTCAAGCATGTAAACATTTACTTCCCACCAGCTCTTGTTCAATCACTATATTTATCTACATATACATGTAGCTTGAATTATCTACGTACAGTTGTCGCCAATTACGGTTTGTCTCAATTTCGATTTAGTCATGTTTTTGTGCATATTAAAGCACAGAAAAATTAAGAAACTGTTGGTGAAGAATTGTCTTGTTTGTCTGTAATCGGTTACGATCGAGATATTGGAAATCAACATAAACATTTGTTTTTACTGCAGCAAGCTGATATAAAACTTAAAGGTTAAATATAGCTGCGAAATATAAAGGGCACATGCATTCGGATACATTATGTAAGAAATAATTAATTATGATCACCGCTCAAAAAGAGAAGAAACTAGCCCCTTCTAGAAAATCCTGAATGACAAAGTGAAAAATTCTCAAATGAACGTCAAATAACATACAATTAATCAATCAAGATAAATTTTTCATTGATTTATCCATCAAACTGTACCAGTCTTTAGAATAAAATTTTCACTTATCAATACATGTAAACCAGAATGTGATAACGTCTTAAAAAACTCGCTGATTAATAAATCAAATTGTAACTCGAAATGTTTATTAAAACCCCAAAACCTTGAAGTATTAGATATATATATATTATAAATTATACGAAAGGAAATTATGAAAAGTAAAATTGTGTCACTAGCAAAAGAAAAAAGAATATTCGAGAGAATATATTAACGCTCTTGTATGGGTGTTTGTGTGTGGGTTGAGTTTGGAAGGGTTTGTGTGCGTGTGTGGCGGATTGGGTGTTAGTAAGTGCGTGCGTAACGAAAGTTAAGCAAGTAATATTTTAACTTATATCAGAATCTTAAACATGTGAGGGGATGCTTAAATAATTGTTGTGCGGTGTACTTATTCAAAGGTACCCGGTTTATTCCTGAGTGGTTTGAAATACACAGACTGGAAAATGAAACAAGGTACGGTTTCTATACAAATCTGGCCCTGTGTTTTTCTAAAATATGAAAATGATATGTATTATATTAGCGAGATCACTTAACAAACAAGTAAGAACAACGGAAATTTTGGTACATGTGTATGATACCTTCGTGGAATTCACCTATTAAGAGGATTCTTATCGATAATGGCCAATATTTTTAAAAACTGGTTTGCTGAGAGCTTAAAAGAAATAAAAAAATAATAATTAAGGTTGCTATACAGTAAATATGTGAATATCGTCCGCAAATGACCTAAGTTGAGAAATAAATAGCAAATGTTCCTCCTTCATGCGTTCGGCACTTTGAAGTGAATGCTACGGGTCCTTCAGATGATACCTAAAAAATGAGACCCTAGCTGGTTCACGGCAGGCGTTTGCATAATAAAAATCCCTTGCAGATGTGAGACCATATCTTTCAAAAAATAATGTTTCATTACTTAAATGACTCTGAGTGCCAAGGAAAGGTAAAACATTTTGATAAATTCTTGAATAGGACGAGAAACAACAAATAAGATCAAGGTATGGTTTCTATACAAATCTTGCCCTGTGATTTTCTAAAAAAATAAAACTGGTGTAAAAGATGAAAACCAATGCTTGCTGAATCATTGAAATTCCATGCAAAAAAATCCTACGAATCATTTTTCTCACATGTGTTTTTAAATGCTATATTGTGACGTCATAAACATGTGCATTTTCCCGTATTTTCTTCAAAAGTTGTAGAAGACACCAATTTTCATTGGAGTTTTCTTTCAGAAAATGTTGTCCACAGGATCGCCCACAAAGATTTTTAGATATGTGATTTTTTTTATTGTTTTTTCACAACATAATTACATGTATCAAAAAATGAAAGTGGGCGACGGCTGTAGACACTATTATCTATAGAAAATTACCATTGAAATTGGCTAATTTGAGGCCTTCTCTGTTAAAAAACAGAAATGCATCACATAAATGATGTCATATTTACAGAATGGCAATCCTTTGTGCCATATTCTTTCCTGATTTATCACAGTCATATACTTGACTAATATTTTAGCAGGTTTTATGACTTTTTGATGACACTACATTTTTAGGGCACAATAAAACTAAAACCATACCTTCTTCTTTATCAATGAAACTACAAAGAAATTCATTAATATTGGACTATGCCTGTAGTTTCGTTCAACCAGACGCACGACTGTCTCCGTAAATTCCTTAATTAAACGCCACATTCTAGACTGAGTTGATTGTACAACTGTGCTCGCTCTTAAAAATCCATCCATATTGATTCATAAAATGACCTTCTAAATCTTTGTTCTGACGTCATGAACTTGTGTGCGTTTTCCCATATTTTCTTTTTTAAAATGACACCATGAATGTCCATTCATTTACTCTACTTATATTTAAGCCAATTTCATTACATTTTGAATAAATAAATTTTAAGGGCTTTATGAAGCCAAAACCACGTCTTCTTTTATTGTGAGAGGAATTAATTTTTTTTCATTTATAGGATGTGTGTGGATTTCTTTATCATACTCTAAACAAGTAACATGCTAAGTTCAAAGACTTCCAGATTTGCTTCCTTAACTGATATTTTAAAAGATTAGCGAAATGAAAACCTCCTCTATTTCTATAAACATCATATCTTTATTTGAAATACTAACTAGATCAGGTTTAGTGGACTTATCTATCCACTCATCAGGGATGATGCGATCTGGGCAGCTTCTAACAGGAAGATCAAACTTCCATCCATCAGAATCTATAGCAACATGACCTTCCTTTAAGGATTTTTCTGCGTCTGTAAATGAATAAAAAAGTTAGATTCGAATACATGTAAATAATGTAAATGAATTCTTCCAAATCTTAAAATACAGGTACTTCCAAAACAAGAAACTATAGAATACGCAGTTTTGTATTTTGGTTTGTTTCTTCTCTCAAAATAATAATGTTTCTTGTCAGTTTGTTTCTATAGAATGTAAACTCAGCTACTTTCACGTAGCATTTTTGAAGGGTAAGCATACTATGTTGAAAAAGTGCAAATCTGTCTTTATAGTTCACCCGAGTTACCTGGGTGACCTATTGCTATCTGTTTTGTCCGTCGTCTTTCGTCGTCCATTAACATTTGAACATTTTAACTTCTTCTCTCAACCAAATATTAACCAAGTTTGGCTTTCTGTAGAATCATCATTATTCGTGGGGGATCAATGTTCGTGGTTTCCGTGGGTCATCCTTACCCACGAATTTACATCAAGAACGGCTATTTTGTAAGCATATTGATTAAAATTAAAATGTCTTTTTAGGAGTAACTCTCGAAATTACGTCCCCACGAACAGGTCAAATTTTTCTTACCAACAAACATTGACCCCCCCCCCCCCCACGAATTAAATAATTCCACAGTGTAGCAGGTATGGGTGAAGTGGAACTAATTTATAATTTTCCTGGTCCCCGTCCTCGGGGACCCGAAGAATGGGTCAAAAACTACTAAAATATATACAGTCTATAAATATATCTTTACTCATGGGCATAAATAAGTCAACTGTTGACATATTTTTAATAAGAATTAAGCTCTTCAACAAAACGGTTAAAATTCATGGTCCCAGGAGCATGGTTCTGATGCTAGGGTTGGACTCTGTTGAATGTAAAGTGAAAATGCATTATTTCTTTGAAAAACCTTCTCCCCTGCTCCTTAGTATTAGGCCAATAAACCCTGTACATGGTTATGACGAGGAAGGGTGTATATTCCCAGATTAAGAATGTCATGGCCCAGAAGTCAGGGGTTCTGGTGTTAAGGCGGCCTCTAATTGATTACATGTATATGGTGAAAATATATCAATTCTTTGTTAGTCTCCTTTGTTCCTGGATATTACGCCGATGATCTAAGTACCTAATCATGATGATGAAGGATGCCTCTTCCAAAAGTGTTAATTTCATGACCCCTAGCTGGGTCAGGCGTACCATTGGGGGCTCTTATCATTATATACTGAAATTGAATTTAATGCTTTAAAATATGTTCTGTGGTATTGAACAAATATTTATGTTGAGCAAGAGTACCTTTTCGAAAACTGTTAAATGTTAAGCCCCAGAGTCAGACTTTCCTGTGGGGTAGGGCACTACTGATTATGTTGTGTAAATACATATATGTCCTTTGTTCCTCTGTTCTGCGAGTGCAGAACAGTCAATTAATTGATTATGTGAAACTTAAATTGTCACAACTAAAATGTGTCTGTTTTAAAATAGAATAATGAAAAATTTGCCCAATGATTGATATTGGACGGAAAACTTCGAAGATAAGATTTCTGATAAGAATGAATATCATCGAAAAATGTTATTTTAAGTGTACCGTAACGCCAAATGAAAAATATTGACCCAAACGTTTGGTTTCGATGTTTAATTTAGCTTTGTGCCTAGATACAAAAAATATACATACCAAAAAAATATCTTAAGACTTTATAAAAATCGGGATTCATCGTTAAACATACCTTCTTGGCTTCTAAACAAAACGATCAACCTTTCTCCTCCATTGCCATTACTGAGTTCATATTGGCGTTGGAACTTTTCAACACCAGGAATATTGTAGATACATTGGTAATTCAACCCCTCTGGAACTTTTTTGACAAGCACACACCGTCTCGTTAAAGACTCCTTGCTACACATTCTTATTAATTATTTACTTGTTCCACATATACCCAGGTATTTACTAGGCTACCCATGGTAAAAAATACTTCCGTACTGGAATATCGTTTTATGTAAAATTTTCCTTTACTTTCGTTTCCTTTTTGGTGACGCTTAGATACAGGTATTCATAGATAAACTAGGTATTTGTTACAAAGATTTTTTTAAATGTGTTTTTAAATTCTTCAAACATTATTTACAATGAGTTCAACATGAAACATATGAAAGTGTATCATTTAAACATTAAAATTTAAAATAATTTTGTCATTAGAAAATAGGGCTTGGTAAAACAATACGTAATAATGGTCAAGATTGTTTTCGATAGGCCTAAATTAAGCAAGAAAGAATATAACCAGAGAAAACAAGTTTAAGAATTTAACAATTTTATAGGAACATAGTAAATTAATTATATTGATTAAAAAGATAAAATTAATTTTCAATAGCATTTCACACAAAAATTAATTAAAAATCTTATTTCATTTAAAAGTCATTAAAACTTTGAATTTTTTGGCGGGTTTGATTGACTTATCCTTGTACTTTCACAAATTTTAAGTTTACTCTTAATACTCAGGGACAGTGCCAATCTTGTTGTGTATAAATGAAAAATATAAATACTATAATCCAGAAATGTGTGATCCAGTATTCCATCGGCATCGAAAGCAAGTATTTTGACTTGCCTAGATAGCCGAGCGGTCTAGCGCGCTGTTCCTGCACTGCTAGGAGACAGATTCCGTAGGTTGGGAGTTCAACCCTGGGCTGGGGCGGAAGTGGGAATCCATATAAGGCAAGTTATAAAACTTGCTTTCGATGCCGATGGAATTCTCACAACGCTGCCCTACACTACATGGTCATTGAGAATGGAAGTGAGATACAGTTATTTGGACATTAGTTTTTAGAGGATCGTTATCAATACATGTTGTGATGAAATAATTTAATTTATAAAGCACAAATTACAACTCTTAAACTAATATAACAGCCATATATATATATATATATATATATATATATATATATATATATATATATATATATATATATATATATATATATATATATATATATATATATATATATATATGAAGAACTTTTAAATACTATAACACACAAAATGAATTTAAAAACTAGAATAATTCTAGCATTAAAGTCTTTTATCAACATCATTAATTTAAGGTCTGGCAAAAAATATCAAATAATATTATGTTACTTTGAAGTGAATTTAGGATTTGTGTGTCAGATGAAATAAAGTTTAAAACTATGAGAACATCCGTTAATGCAGCCAGCAGTACGCGCACGGAACATTGTTAAAATCTAAGGTCCTGCACATACAGCTATTATTAGACTTACAAATACAAATACATTATAAGAATATTAATTACAATTAAAAATAATGTTGTTTTTACCTCTTACCACGTCTGAAATGTCTTGGGATGCTTGTTGTTTTCGTTGTATAGATAGCACCTGGAAATGGAGAGGGATATAAAACATCCAAGAATTTTCATTTTTGAAATATATTCCTGATACTAACATTTCATATAACATTGAAAGATTCAAATAACACTTGTATTTCTAAATTGCACAATCAAAGAAAATGTAAATATATCAGATTATGAAACTTATGAAGCAAATCATATAAGAAAGAGTAGAAAGATTAATTTGTCTTAAGGCATAACTTAAAAAAAACGATAAAAATTATCCTCATCCTATTTTGGCTTTTAGAAAGGGGAAACTGTTAATGAAAAAATTACGAGGAACTAATTAAAGAACAATTAACATCTAGATTATCAAATTGCATTTTTACTTTTTATCTTCAATCGTGTTTAAAGCTGAACACGATTCGTAAAAGTAATGTGTTCGCCATTTTAGTTCCCGAGTCTCGCTACCCTGCAGACCCCTATAAATAGAGCAAGAATTAGAGACTGTTCAGTGTAATCAGTTGACACCTGTGTGGACGGACGTATGCCATACAGGACTCGGTAGCGAGAATAATAACGTTATACTTCGTCTAATGCAGCAAAGTAAGATACCAAATAAATTTACAATTTTAGTTGTATAAGTCAGTGCAATATACAAATAACATAGATAAACGTAACTGCAATAAAATATAAACAAATGTAATGCAAGATAACCAGCACGAACACGTGCCGCCATTCTAAGCCGATACCTGTGACAATAAAGCAGTCAGGTGTGACAAATGCTACGAGTACATGTATACCCTAGTATTGAGGTATCGAAGATAATGCTATCAAAAATGGCGTATGCCTATTTACGAGTCGTGTTCAGCTTTAATCGTAGACTTCAAAAAAGAAAAAAAACGACTTTATTGTTTACTGTCACGAAACGGCGTCTCTTTGAAATTTTCTTATATAATAAGGAAGGTTTTTATAAAATTGTCAAACATTAGTTTATGAGAGGTAAAGAAAGAATCAGAAAAAAAGGAACAAAATAGAAAAAACATGATGTACTTAATACTCAAAATTGATATTCTGAACTTACATGTAGTTGCAAAACATTAACCCCTTGCAGATTTCTTTGTGTTAAAAAAATACATTCATTCTTCGTTTATCATTTGTTTAATATGATAATTAAAGTAAAAAGAATTAAAAAAAAAAACAATAGTTAAAAAGGACTGCATAAAGTTTGAAATAAAGAATATTCGTAATAATTCATTGTTTTAGAAAATTATTTAGTAGAACGAATAATAACTCAATTTGAATTTTTCATATCTTCTTATACAAAAAGATTGCGCTAGCACAGAATTTATATTTCAAATTTAAATTTTCACTACTAATACTTTACTGTTCTCATTTTTAAAGCTTTTGATTTCACAAACAAATACAATACCACAAGACTTTTGAGTATTTTAATTAGAAATGATAATTTCTCAAGCAATAAAAATCTACATGCATGAACTTAAACGAAACATCACTCGTCAGCAGAAGCATTTATCCTTAATATCAATAACTGGTCACGTTAGCCTAGTGGTAGAGTGTTTGCCTCGTGATCGGGAGGCCCGGGTTCGATTCTCGTTCATGGCGCCGCGTCATAAACATAGGTAATGGCTGTTCTTTCGCCAAGCGCTCGGCACAGGAAGTGAATGTCATGGGTCTTTAAAACGATGGTCCCGTGTCATGGTAGGCGCTGGTACGTTAAAGAACCCTCACTGCTCAATGGCCATGAGTGCAGTGATCATGAACTGATAAGGAGTAAGATCAGAATAAAATTGAAGAAACAAAAGCAAAATGCAAACACACAGAGAAAAAAGTATTATGTCACAAAACTACAACAGCTAGAGAAACGGAAATCATTCACATTGGAGCTAAAAAAATAATTTCCAAGTGCTAGAAGGATTGGAAATTGTCGAAGACACATGGGAAAATATGATAAAAAGTTACAAGAAAACAGCAGACAGCTTAGTTAGAGTAAAAGAAAAGGGACAAAATATTTGATAAGCAGGGACTCTTGGAAGGTGGTAGAAGAAATTAAGCAGCTAAAACTCCAACTTGCCAACAGCTGATCAGAAAGGCTAGAAGGGAACTTAAAATATTCAATTAAAACGCAGTATGAGGAATGACAGGAGGAAGTGGACAATGGACATAATTACAGAAGAAGAAAGAGCAACAACTAATGGTCAAATGAAAACAGTGAATGAGGTAACTAAAGTTATGAGAAAAAAGGCGTGGCTATTACAATAAAGTATAAAAAAGACAAAATCATGAGCAGTCAAGATGAAAGAAAGGATTGCTGGAAACAGCATTTTCAACAAATATTAAAACGCTTACAACCCGAACATCCTTTAGCAGTTGAAAACATAGAACAAGTTGAAAATAAGATTGATACAAATCCCTTAAGGACGGAGGAATTTGTTAAGTCTATAAAAAAAAGAATGGAAAAACAATACAGTATAATTTCTTAAACAAAATGATGAGTGGGCGAATTTAAAATGAGGCAAAACTGTTTTCAAGTGAAAGTACCAAAATAACACAGGTCGAAAATAACCCAGTATACAGTAATAAGGATGGTTTCAGAAGGATAGAATTTGAACGTAACAGAAGGTTTACAATTCTTTATATTCTATAAATTTATTATTTGCATCTTTTGCAATGAAATTAGGTCAAGAAATATATACCAATCCAGGCACCATTTTTGTTGGTATCATCTGTCTTTAAATGCATGTCTACCTTGCTGGCGTCATTAAAATAAAATGAGACATTTCACATATAAATGTAAAAAAAAAAACGAATCACTTTCTAAGTTAGGTATGCAAGGGACATCAATGACAGTTAGAAACGTGGAAAAAAATTATGCATAACGGGCTTAGTCCTGGTATTTAAGCTATTTCACGTTTCCAGATATCGTTTTTCCTCATGAATACACAACAAACTAGACAATGATTACTTGATTGTTATTATATTGTTAAAAAATCTTTGTAGTTTAGTTATCATTTAATAATGCTTCATCAAAACGTACAGATTTACAGAGGTATAAAATCATTTTCTAGTACAATCGCAATTTTATTCAAAGCTAATTCAATCTGAATTAGCTGCTTTTATCGAAGGAAGTGCATATTTTAATGCTTTATCAAAATCTCAGTACTTATTCCTGGTGATTATCGTTCTTGTCAAATATTTTAGTTGATTATTCCCCCTTTTAATAAAAACACCTGAGGGCGCTTTGGTTGCAACTTCCTTTTTCAATATTCCACCATCATCTTTGGTCGGTAAAAATTTTCCAGCTAGTTATTGTGTATTATTAATTTGAAACACCCACCCACCTCACCCATTTAGAATAGATACTGCTTTTCTGGTTTTTTAATGCTTTCAGATGAAGACTTATAGTGAATATCAAGTTCAACATGACAGGACTTACGGGATGAAACCAGGACCTTATGGAACAGCCATTGCTAAGGGGATTGAACCACTAGTATCTCTATGGACTCGCAGCATTCTGGACTTTCAAGACATTTAATGTGAAAGTGATGTGAGGAACAGCCATTTATATGGAAGTGATTCATTCCAAGAGCAAGTCATGCATAATTTCCAGGAGCCAATATTTTT